AACTGTGCACAATCACAAACAAATAGAAAATAATAAATAAGATTTAACGTAGCTCAGTAGTATACCTACATCTATGGGTGAGACTAACAAAAAATTATTTCACTATGATCAAAAGAGAGTACATCAATAATAGAGTAGCAAACCTATATATAAAAAAACTACTTGAGTTTTTCTCCAACAAAACTCTTAAGATATACATAAAATATTCTCCAAGATAAATATAAATTATCCGCAAGATATACATAAAATATCCACTAAAATAAATATCAATATCCCTTATAATATAGATAAAATATCCCTAAAATTCAAGCCACATTAATAAATCTTTCCTTTAACTTGAATTCTCTCTATCATCAAAGTAACTAATCATCTCGTCATACTATCTTGCCATTATGCCCCTCGCAAGGGCACTACTGAGTATCACATACTCTAACTAAGTTTAGGCCATGCTTAGACTTGTAACTTGATCCCTGGATGAAGTGATATCTACCATCAAGTTCTTCACACATAGCACCAACCCCTGTATCTGCGTATGAACTCTCTAGTTCTTGCACATCAACTATTATATATGGTTGTTGTTGATAAGGTGCACAATTAACTTTTTGATTAACACCTTGCTCTTTATTTCTTAGATCATTGTAGAACCTTTCCTTCAAATAAAATTAATTCGTCAATGATTTTATAAAGTATAATTATTTCAATTTCTTTTATGCAGCTGGAGTCGAACTTTCTCCAATAACTTCCCGCATAACATTATCAATCATACTCATCAAAATCATGCATAAGACTTTTTCTTACATATCTATCTTATTCGACTCTCTCATACCCTTAGAAAATCTTTCTTTAATTGCCCTCCACAAATCTTTTAAAATAAGGAATGACTTCATCTTAATTTTTAACATATTAAAACTCGTTCCACCATCAAATTTCTCCACCTCATACTTTGCGGATGTCATCTCAAATCCATATACTATGTACCAATAACAAACAAACAGAATTATTATTGTTAGAAAATAAAGAAGCACTCACAAGGAAACACCACTACGAAAATACCACTGCACGCAACCACCAAAGTACCCCATGCACCTCCACGCGTTGCTGTCAGACCACCAGGCGCCATTGTCGAAACTATCACATGCCATCTTGGACCGACAATGCGCGACTCCTCAGATTTGGAACGGATCTTGGTGAAATCGCACTAAAGTCACTTGAATTTGACCTTCTTGCAAAATGGTCTGTCACGAGTCTTCTTCTTCTTTATCAATGCACAGCTCATCTTTCGACCCTCTAGTTTCATGAACCAGCATAGATTCTGTTGTTTTCTGTCGCAACACCGCACACCAGGAGGAGATCTGTCTTCCCATTGCAAATCCTCCTGTTCTCACCGCAAGTACACGCGCAGAGCTGATATGCAAAGCTCTCTGCCCTTGTCATGCGATCTGTTTCCCCTCGCGCAAAACTTGCAGGGTTATTCTGTCCAGATCAGGGTATTGCCCCGATCGGTTCCTTCTAATTGCCTGCACAGATTTGCCCGAATGGAATTTGTTTTGATGTTGCTTAAAAATCACTGCACCACAACTCATCAGCTTCTTTTCTCTCAAATATGACTTTTTATCTCTAATCCAAGCTTTAATACCACTTATTGGGAAAGTAAATCTCTAAAATACATACAATCACAATAAAGTATAGCAGATAGAAAAGACACATAAAAAAACGTGGTTGGACAGTGTACCTACACCCACAGGTGAGACTGATAAGAAAATATTTCATTATGATCAAAAGAGAGTACATTACCAATAAATTAGTAAACCAATATATAAATGGACTACTAGAGTTTTTCTCAAACGAAACTCTTCAGAATGTACATAAAATATTCTCCATGATAAATACAAACTATCCCTAATATATACGTAAAATATCCAATATGATAAATATCATATATTTCCCAAAATATAGACAAGATATCTCAAAAATTCAAGTCATATCAACATATAAAATATCTTAAACTAAATGAAAAGAGTTATTACTTTGATCTAATTACTTCAACAAAAAAAAAGAGGTTTTTCCCTTTGAGTTTTAGTTAATGCATGTAAAAGAACGTATAGACTTTTAATAAATAATGTATGATTGGAGAAATAGAGAATAGTAAAAGACAAAAAAGGGGGATATGGTAAATAAAGAAAA